GTAGCTTTCACTCAGTATCCCCAGTGGTTTTATCTTACATAGTTATAGCGCAATATCCAAACTGAAAATGTGATATTGGTACTATGTGTGTATAGAATTCTATGTCATTTTATTATATACATAGATTCATGTAATCTCCACCATAATCATGATACAGACCTATTCCATTACCACAAAGATCTCCCTGATGCTACCCCTTTATAGCCACACCCATCCCCCATCTCCTCACCATCTTTAACACCTGGCAGTCATTCACCTGTTTTCCATCTTTGTCATTTAAGAATGTTTATATAAATGGAATTCTACAGTATGTGACCTTTTTGAAATTGACTTTTTTTCCCCCTCACTTAGAATAATGCTCTTGAGATCCATTCAAGCTGTTATATTTGTTAACACTTTATTAAGAGTTTTTGCATTTGTATTCAAGGGGGATATGATCTGTAGTTTTTTTCTTTTTTCCTTTTTTTTTTTTTGTACTGCCTTTTTAATGTTTAGCCATCAGAGTGATACCAGCTTCCTAGAATGAGAGGTAAAGTGTTTCCTCCACTTCTATTTTCAGGAAGAGATTGTGTAGAATTGGTGTTAATTTTTCCTAAAATATTTGGTAAAATTCTCCAGTGAAACAGTGTAGGCTTGGAAATTTCTTTTGTGGCTAGTTTTAAATTATCAACTCAATTTTTAAAGTAGTTGCAAGGCTAGTCAAATTGTCTATTTCATATTAGTAAGTGGTGATAACTTGTACTCTTCAAGGAATTGGTCCATTTCATGTAAGTTGTTGATTTTATGCATATAGACTTATTTGTAGGATTCCTTTATTGTCCTTTTGATGTCTGCAGGATCGATAGTGAAATCTTGTTTCATAGATTGTTAATAATGTGTTTCCTCTCTTTGTCAGTCTTGCTAAAGTTTTGTCAATTTTGTCAATCTTTTCAACAACCAGGATTTTGTTTCATTTAATCTATTTTTCTGTTTTCAGTTTGATTTCTTATTTTTTGTTTCTTTCTGCTTGCTTTGAGTACCTTTGCTCTTTTCAAGTTTCCTAAGGTTAGGACTTAACATTAATTTAAGGCTGTTTCTTTTTCTAATGTAAACATTAAATGCTATAAATTTCACTGTTAAGCTGCATCACACAAAATTTGATCTGTGGCATTTTCATTATCATGTAGTTCAATACATTTTTAAAAAAATTCCCTTAGAGACTTCTTGTTTGACCTATGGATTATTTAGAAGTGTGTTAATAACCATTCTTTCTTCTGAAAAGTTACTGTATTGACTTCCAAAAGGTCTTTTACTTGCTTTGATCTTTTAGCAAATCGAATCCTGAACATGTAATACTTTGTGTTTGATATTTTTGTTCAACATTAATCCATTCTATTATTGATGAGCATTTGGATTTGGAATTTTAGATTTTTTCAGTTGGGGTTTGGAATACTGATTCTATGGATATCTTGTTTTATGTTAAACATATGTACTAATTTTCAGGCTATAAACCTAGGAATGGAGTTTCTAGTGTTGGCTATTCTTAAACTGTTATCCCAAGTGGTTTTAGCAATTTATATATTTTATATGCTGGGCATGTAAGTTACAGGTTCTCTACATGATCCGAAAGAGTTGATATTATCATTCTTTTATTTATTTATTTTTCTTGCCATTCAGTTGGGTGGGTAGTGTTATGTTTTATTCAACCTATACTCTGATATTTTTGTCTGCTTGTTCCATCAATTATTAAGAAAAGTTGCTAAAATTTTCCCAGTATAATGGATGGTCTATTCATCATTTTAGTTCTTTCCACCTTTGCTTTATGTATTTTAATGATATGTCATTATTTACATACAAATCTAGAATTATATCTTCCTGGTGGATTGACAATGTTGATGAAATTTCCTCTTCATCTCAAGAATTTTTCTTGCTTTAATATTTACCCTACTACTAGTTTGCCTACCTCTGTTCTATTTCTTTTCTTTCCTTTCTTGCTTTCTTTTGGACTTCTCATATTATTTAAATTATAAACTTTTAGGCTGTTATACAGTCTTTAATTATTCTTTTAGTGATTACCTGGGAGATTACAGCATGCACCCTCCCTCAACTTATTAAGGGCTGTTATAAATCAGTTCTTTAAGGCAAGGATCCTAAAACACTTTAACTCCATTTATCACCTGTCTTGTGCTATTTCAGTTCTCTTTTAAATGTTTTAATATGCCTAGAAGTTATTGTTTATATGGGCACACTCATTTATCTTTACTCAGATATTTATCCTATTTCATTTTTTTCCTTCTTCAAGTTTCTATGTGGGATTCTTTTCCTTTTGTCTTCAGAACACTTACTGAACTTTTTAATTCAATAATAATGAATTTTGGCATTTATTGTTTTTGTTAACAAATCAGCTGCCATTCTTTTATCACTGTTGCTTGAAGGTAAAATGTCTTTTCTCCTTATCTACTTTTAAGACTGTTCTCCCTCTGGCTGGTTTTATGCAGTTTTACTATGATGTATCTTTAGATGTATTTGCTTAGTTTAGGATTATAACCCTTCTTGAATCTATCATTTGTCATTTTTTTAATCAACTTGGGAAAATTCCCAGGATATAATCTCTTCGAATATCACTTATTTGTTTTTATCTCTACTCTCCTGAAATTTCAAATATGTGGTGTTAGAACTTTTCATCAAAGCCATATGTATCTTATTCTTTTCACCTCCCACATTGCATTTTCTATCATTTTTCTCAATGCTTGAGTATGATTTTCCTTCTCCTTTTTCTTTAAGATCACTGATTTCTTCATCAGTTATGTCTCATAGCTAGCTGTTACATTCATATATTTAGCTCTTAATTTGTTTGTGATTTCTCATTTCCATTTGATTCATCTTTATAATTTTCATTTCTCTGCTAAACTCTTGTCATTTAAGATTTTATAATTCTGTTATTTGGATCTATTGTGGGCCTGTGGCTTCTCTTGGATTTCAGTTAATTTTTTTCCTTTAAACTTTTGTTTTGATTAAATCCCAGACATTGTGTATGGAAAACTGTAGAGATAACTTGATGCTCAGGATAATGCTATCTTTCTCTTGAAATTTCTACTTTGGTAGAATATCAGATTTGGAGAAGCTCACTTTAGTACAATCTGTAACCAAGCTGATTTGGGTCCAAGCATCAGTCTATGAGAGGGAAGGCCCATTTTTGCTCACCTTTACCGTTAGGATGTAGCCCTTGTAGAGAACAAAACAGAAAATGCTGGGTGTTTATGAGCTTCTCACACTTCAGTGAGCCTGAGCTCCGATTAATTGTCTTTACAACCCAAAAGAATACTGGAAGCTCTTCTCAGCTACTTAATCTTAAAATTTTGGCTTGCTTTTGTTGTGTTCTTTCTAAGAACCTAGTCCTTAATTGTTGAAAATGGAAACTTATTTCCATATTTTTAACTACCACCAAAATCAATCAATATATAGCTTTTATTCAACCCCCAGGTAAGTATTTTCAACTGCCTAATAGATATCTCTACTTTAATGTCTCATAATTATCTCAAATTCAATTTATCCAAAACAGAACTTGTCATTCAATCCTGCTGTGTCTTCTACATTTTGTATCACTGTAGGTATCACTCAATCCAGGAACTGGGGAGTTAAGATTCTTTTTTTCCCCTTTATAACTTATGTCTAATCAGTCATCATAGCTAAAATTTACCCTCTTTTTCATTGCTTGTCTGACTCATTGCAATAGTTATCCATTACTTTCTCTCACACTCCAGCTGTTCTTATCAAATTTATCCTTTCTAATGCATTTCCTCCTAATTAATATTTTTTCCTCAAAATAAATCCAAGTCTGTCATTCCCTACTTAAAAACTCCTCAAGGGCTTCCCACTATCTGCAAGATATGGTTCAGTACAATACAGTCATCAGTCCATCAATCTTTGATGATTTGACTTAGCACCTGGCTTCTTACCTCTCCAATTTTCACTTGACCTATTCCTTCCTGTCAATGTGTTTTAATGATATATATTTATTTTAGCTACTGAAATATACTATGATCTTTTTCACATTTTGATTTTTGCATGAGCTAATTTCATTTGAAATGTGTTCCCACCTTCCAGTTTGCTTTGTAAACTAGGATTAATCCCCTGCTGAGAGGCTGTAACCATCATAAAGCTTTATTCCCTCTCCCTCTTATTTTCCAACAAAAGGATTGTTATCTCCTCTGTGCTGCTTCAATTTTTTTCATACTTCTGTTAATATATGTATCACATTGTATCACACAACTGATGAAACCTCTTGAAATTTAAATTATATATTATAATATATAATTATTAAAAATTAGTTTATAATTTAAATTTTAAATGTGCTGTTTTTTTATTTTCTGCCTTGTCTTTCAAGAGGTTTCATCAGTTGTTATCTAATATTATAAAAAGATTTCATGGGTCTAAGAATTCCAGTAATTAGCTTATGTCTATCAGTTCAACACATATTGAGTCTTCTGTGTGCCAATGACTATATTAAACTCAGGAGTATCAAAGATTAATGAGGGACCTCACCACAAAGAGTTTTTGTTTTAGGGGAAGAAACAAAGAGTTAACAAATCAAGACTATGCAGTGTGATACATATATTAACAAGTATGAAAAAAAACTAATGATGTAATGTATGGTGATTGATATAACATAATAAAATAAAATAAAAGGCAATGAGGACCTTTACATTGGCAGGATATGTATCTCATTTTATAATATAGGAAATAGTTAAAAATAAAAGCCTTTTGAGTCAGCCTAAAAATAAAAATTAAAAAAAAAAAATAAAAGAGAGCTACATGAACTCAGTGGCACGATTAATATTGCTGAGCAAGGCTCTCTGAAGTTCTGTTCCCTATTAGAAGAGAGGGGGAATCTGAATTCAGAAGAGATTTTTGGGAACTTCTCCTTACTACGGAAAAGCAGCTTGAACAGATGATCCAAGCAATGATAAGAAATAAGAAGCCAGGGAAATGAAAGGGAAGAAGGACAGTAGAGACTTTCAGGGCAAAAAGGAACTTTAATGAGGACAGGAGCAGTCAAAGAAAAACAATGAAGGGATTATGAGTTGGATGACTTTTGATTCACACTTTGTTCAGGTAGAAGCTAGTTCAGGTAGAAGAACTCATACTGAAATGTATTCTTGTAGGGGCATACATTATTTAAAGTTTTCCTGAGAATTACATAGTATCGTGCTCCAAGTCTTTATTGCCTGTACTCTAAAGACAATCACAAATCTTTTTTTATGGTCTCTTACAAAAGCTCTATTAGGGAGAGTTGACAGCTTCAGAATTAGAGTTGACATGTTCAGAGAGAAGATAAATTTTTCCTGTAATAATATATTTAAATAGGGAAAAGCTTTCTACTTGGAGCCTACAAAAATATGTGCAGAGAAATTTTTGAATACCAAGAAGAAAAATCCCAACTTGTTTGTATTTTCTTTTGCACAAAATCTGTGAGCTTTGTAGCAGCCTTGTTATACAGATATCATTAGGGCCCACATCAGGTATGAGCACCAGGAAAAAGCTCACATTTCTAAGGTCTTTAAAAAGTGCTCTCAGCTTCCTCTGTAACAGCTGTGAGAGTATCTTCATTATGATGATGACTCTGAAAAAAAAATTAACCTCTTATAAATCATATCATGCTTCCTAAGATCATACATGTAACAAATACTTAGTTTTTTGTTTTTTTTTTAAATAAGCAGTACTGATGTTTATAGAATAAAATGTTAAAGTGCCATGTGTCCTCTTTGGGTCCCAACTATACTTCACCCCACTCTCTTAACTCCTACTAGACATTTGTAACTTTTTTTCTTAAAGTAGGCTCCACATCCACTGTGGCACCCAACGTGGGGCTTGAACTCACAACCCTGAGATCAAGCCCCAACCCGAAATCAACAGTTGGATGTCTAACCAACTGAGCCACCCAGGTGCCCCAGACACTTGTGACTTTTTGGCATACTTCCAAACTTTAACAACAAAAAATTCTTCTTGACTATGAACAGATGCCAGCACCCCAAAGGTTACCTCGTCATGATACTTCCCAATTATTACCCATTTCTTCCTCCCAAAAGTAACTTGTGATTTTGACCTTTAGGTAATTAATCTTTTCTTTTCTTTCCAGTTTTACTACTTGCATCTTTCTGTAAAGATGATAGTTCAGCTTTAGTTTTGCCTGGTTTCAAAACTTCATTGGAATGGAATCATAAAGTTGGCATTCTTTGGGTCTTTCTATATTTAACATTATATATGGGAGAGTCATCCATGTTGTTAAGTATAGGTATAGTTCATTTTAATTACTATGTAGAATTTTATTAGAGTAATATACTTCAATATATTCACCCATTTGCAGTGTTTCCACTTTGGGACTATTTTTTTTAAAACATTTTTTTTTTAAGATTTTATTTATTTATTTGAGAGAGAGAGAGAATGAGAGATAGAGAGCATGAGAGGGAAGAGGGTCAGAGGGAGAAGCAGACTCCCCACTGAGCAGGGAGCCCGATGCGGGACTCGATCCCGGGGCTCCAGGATCATGACCTGAGCCGAAGGCAGTCGCTTAACCAACTGAGCCACCCAGGCGCCCTCCACTTTGGGACTATTATGAATATATTGGTACTTTCATGGAAGTGTATCTTAGTACATATGCACACATATTTCTGTTGGGTATATACTAAAAACTAAAATTACTGGGATGCCTGGGTGGCTCAGTTGGGTAAGCGTCTGCCTTTGGCTCGGGTCATGATCCCAGGGTCCTGGGATCCAGTTCCGCATTGGGCTCCTCGTTCAGTGGGGAGCCTGCTTCTCCCTCTGCCTGCCACTCCCTCTGCTTGTACTCTCTAACAAACAAATAAATAAAATCTTAAAAAAAAATAAAAAATAAATAAAATTACTGATAGGGTATGAGCATCTTAACTTTCCATAATAATGCCCCCAAAGTTTTTGAAGTTGTAATAATTTATATTCCAAGTAGGAGTGAGAGGTTTCTTTTATCCATCGGCATTATCATCACTTAGAATTGTATTTTGAAACTTAATCATTGTTAGGAAATGAATATCTCAGTGTAGTTTTATTTTAATGTTATTATTGAAAGGGTTGGATTTATGCCCAATACCTTGCTATTAGTTTCCTATAGGTCTTGTGTTCTTTTTATGTTCCTCCTTTGCCTATTAATACTTTCTGTATATTATCTTGTTATCTTATTATATTTTTCGTGTTCTTAGTGTCATTAGTCTAGGAATTAGAATGTGCATCTTAATTTATCACAAATTGCTTGAGGTGCATGCTACTTTAATTCCAGTAAAATACAGAAACTTCATTCTCATGTAGCTCTATTCCTTCCACCTTCCTCTACGCTATTATTGTCCTATATATTACACCTACATGTTATATACTCAACAGTACAATGTTTTTAATTTTATAATTTTATCTCTTAAAATTTCAGAGGGAAAAGGAGACAATATATATCTATATAACAGGGGTTGGCAAACTCTGGAATATGGACCCAATCCAGTTCACTACCTGTTTTGGAAAGTTTAACTGGAACAAAACCATATCCGTTCATTTATATATTGTCTATGGCTTCTGTCATTCTATAAGTTAAAGCTGAGTAGTTATGACAGATGGAATTAAGGCTGATAATAACATGACTTTAAAATAAGGAGATCATTTTGGATTATCTGGGTGGGCCCAGTGCAATTTATGCAACCGTCTTTTCAATCAGTTAAGAGAAGCACAAAAGGTATATTTATATTGTTTTTTTATAGTCATCTGCAATAATTACCTTTACTGATGCTCTGTATTTCTTCATGTGTTTTTGAGTTCCATCTGATACCACTTCTTTTTAAAGAACTTCCTTTAGTGTTTCTTGTAAGGCAGTTCTCCTAGCCATGCATTCTGTCTGCTCACTTGTGTGTGTCTTTATTTGCCTTCTGTGTTTGAATGTTAGTTAAAGGCTACAGAATTCATGCTTGACTGTTTTCCTCCAACACTCTGCTATGCCATCTCATTGCCTTCAGGCCTCTATTGTTTCTGATGAGAAGTCAGCTGTTAATCTTACTGTGGTTCTATTGTACAGGAAATCATTTTTCTCTCGCTGCTTTTAAGATTTTCTCTCTCTTTTTTAGTTCAGTTTGGTCCTCAGGTGTCTAGGAGTGAATCTCTTTGTGATTATTCTAATTGGAGATTATTGAGCTTCTTACATATGCAGAATAATATTTTTCATAAAATTTAGGAAAACGTTGGCCACTATTTCTTCAAGTATTTTTCCTGTTCCCTCATTTTCTGGGATTCTTATTATACATATGTTGGTGTACTGGATGGTGTCCCAAAGATCTCTGAGGCACTATTAATTTTTCTTCTCTTTATTTCCTGTTGTTCTTCAGATTGGATGATCTATATCATTCTATCATGTTTGCTAATTTTGTCTTCTGTCAGCACAAATCTGCTATTCAGCCCCTCTGGTGAGTTTTTCATTTTGGTAACTGTATTTCTACTAAAGAATTTCCATTCGGTTCTTTTTAATAATTAGCATCTCTTTTATTTATATTATTTATAAAAAAATTAATAGCTTTATTGAGGTATAACTGATATACAAAGAACTGTACATATTTAATGGGTGCGATTAGACAAATTTAAATATACGTAAATACCATGATACCATCACCACAATCAAGGTAATAGACATTCATACTCTTATTTGATGAATCATTATCATCATTTTTAATGTTAATTAACATGTTCATTTTTTTAACATTTTTTCTTTAGTTCTTTAAAGTCTCTGTGAGGCCCAACATTTGTCATTCTCTGCCCCCAAAAAACTGTAGCTACTGACTGCTTTTTTTCAGGTGTATATGTCAACATTTCCTATTCTTTGCATGTCATATTTTTGTTGTTGTTGAAAAATGAGTATTTTAGACAATATAGTGTAGTGACTCTGGATTCTAATTCCCTTATCTTCCCCCCAGAATGGTTGTTATTACTGCCTTTTGTGACTTGCCTGTACTAATTTTGTGGAGTCTGTGTCCCTTGCAGTGTGTGGCCTTTGATATATTTACTTATGCTTTTCATTTTTTTAAATTCATGTTTTTGTTTTTAAGACTGGTTTAATGGGGTTCTCCCCTGGTCAGCATAAGTAGTCAGCCAATGACTGGTCAGCAGTTTTGCTTAAACACCATGTTAAGGGCTGCACTGTGTCCCCTTAAAGTTCATATGTTAAAGTCCTAACTCCCAGTGCCTCAGAATGTGACTGTATTTGGAGATAGAGTCCTTAAAACAGTAATGAAGTCATAATAACTCATTAGGGTGGGCTTTAATCCAATCCAAATACTTACTAGTTTTACATGTAAAGATCATTGTTTATAATTTATGCACACCTAAATATATATCTATATTTGTGTAGATGTAGATATATATTTATTTAATTGTCTTTCTTCTCCACTGAAAAGGAAACTTCCTGATGGTAGGGATGTTGTCTTGTTAATCATTGCAACCTTAGTGCCTATTATAATGCCTAGTAAATAGTAGGCCCTCCATAAATATTTGTGAAAGAATGAACGTAGGTATCTAGTTTCTTTTTTCTTTTCTTCTTGAAAGAGAAAGAGAGAGCACAGCATGCAAGAGTGGGGTGAAGAGGGGCAGAGAAAGAGAGAGAGAGAATCTTAAGCAGGCTCCACACCCAGTGCAGAGCCCTATGCAGGCTTTGATCTCATGACCCTGAGATCATGACCTGATTGGAAATCAAGAGTTGGATGCTTAACCAACTGAGCTACCTGGGTACCCTGATATCTAGTTTTTTTTAAAGCTTGTATAAAATAATCATTCTCATAAACTTTTGTAGTACTGTGTATTATTACAGCATTTAGGGATGTTATCAAACTTGTCATTACACTTCTAGGAATCAAATACCTACACACATACTAGTCGTACATGTAAAGATCATTGTTTATAATAAAAAGAAACTGGAAAAAAACTAAAGATGCAGCAAGAAAAAATGTCAAAATAAATACTAAGGAAAAGTATGATGCTACTAAAAGGTATTGTTTTGTTTTATAATGAAAAGATGTTTATGATAGTTGAGAAAAATCATGTGACAAACAATATGAATATGATCACACAATTAGTAAACAAGAAAACTGTGTATAGTGTGTCTGTGTGTTTGTGTCTTTTTTGTTATATATTTGGATGGGTGGGTATGATGAGGACTACAGTAAGAGGACAGTAACTTTTTACTCTATAATTTTACTTTATAGTTTCGTGTATTACTTTCATAACTTTATAAACAATAAAAATAAGGGAAAATTTTAAAGGAAATATTGTGACATATTCCATTTTCACGAGTTCTAACATACTGTGTTATCTTCTTATAGACTGTATGTGCTAGAAATCAGCATCTCTTGATTTGCCAGAGTAGATAAACACTTACCAAACCAATACAGCCAAAGATTGAGTATGTTAATGCAATAGAAAATTCCAAGGGGTAAGATATCAGTAAAACCCGTGAAACTTCTCTTCCAAGTTTCTGAAACCAGAAAATAGGGAGAAATCTTGCATTATTATCTTTAAATATGTTCACAAATGGAGCTCCTACTATAAGAGTCAAGGAAAATAGGAAAAATAAATAAGCTGCTTTCACCATTCAACTTCCCTAGTCATCTCTACTACTTTGCCTTCCACTCCACTTTTCCTACCCTTAATTCCCCCAGCTCATTATCTTCAGCTTCCACTGGTGGTCTTCATCACTCAGCATTCTTGTCTCACTTCTTACAACTCTTCATTCTCATTATTCTCTTCATGACAGAGTCTCTATCTGTTGGGGTTAATGTAGAGCATGAAATCATCCATAATACCTGGCTTGCTAAAATGTAACACAGAGGCCGCTGGGGGTGAGGGAAGTTTTCGGAGAAGGGCGTAGGCCTTTGGAATGCTGAGGCCTGCGTGACCACTCTGCCATAGGAATGCCGTGGGGAGTTGCCTTCGCCGAAGCCTTCTTAGCTCAAACAGCTGCCCTGTGATCTAAGAGGTGTATGCACTGTCCCCTAGGCTATGTTTAGCAGAACTTGTAGAACAAGCAGATCATATCATTCCCATAAACAGATCCTCCTAGTTGCAGTAAGACTCCTTGTCATACATCACATGCTTGAGAAACAGTGATAAAGTGATAAAGATTTATGATTATCCTGAAGGACCAATAAAGGTGGGAGAATAGAAGGGCAAAGGGTCATCTCTGAGCACTGACCCCCTTGCCTTCTCCTCTCTTTTACAGCAAAGTGTGGAGTCATCGTTCATCTGTTGGTACAGGGATTGCTGGCCATTCCCAGCATCTATCCAAGCTCTTTGGTCAATAAGATTTGACTCTATCTCCAGTGATAAAATAGCTACTAAGGGATTTTATCAAGCAATTCTCATGTATTAAAACAACTGTTACTAATTACCAACTTACTTAAATTTGTATGTGCAGTGATAAAAATCTCACATAGAAATTGCTGTAACATGATGTGGAAGGATGAGTAAATCCTCAAACAACATCTCACTTGGAAGTATACAGTGATTATGATTTTGATGGGATAATAAAGCAGATCCCTTCTGTTGTGATCAGAAAGATATTTTCAACTACATATCAGGATGAACGATATTGGTCCTAATCCTGAAAATGAATGTAGTTTTTGTGCTGGCTATAGAAAGAAAAGAATGATATTCAGACCTGGAAAGAATAACATTACAATCTCTCTCCTTCAATTCTTTCTCTTCCTCCCTCTCTGTTTTTGGGTTTATTTAGTATCTTTTACGCAAGAAACTATTATGTGGTAGGGAGTAGATAGTAAGAATGAAATGACAAAAAATTCCTCCTTTCTCAAGGTTTATATTCAAGTAGAAAAGACAGAAAGATAATATAAGGTAACATATAATTCGGTTAAATATGTCAGAATGGATAAAAACTTGCTTAGGAGTTTGAGGGGACAGGAGGTTTGCCCTAAGCCATTCATATCCAGGAAGGCTTCATAAAGAGGTAAGACATTGTAAGCAAGAGTAAGACTGAGGAAAATGGAGGGAAGCAACATTCTAAGCAGCTTTAAATTTTCATTTACTAGTTTTTTTGTAACTTATCTTGCTCCAGAAAAAAATGTAATAGCATAAATTAGAAGTGTGACAAAATAATTAAGAAATGGAGACATAAAATAGAAACAATAATAAAGTTAAAATATATATCACACGACCTATGGTTTGATAATGTGAGGAAAAAAATGAATGCAAGAATGAACATGTTTTAAGAAAATGATAAAGCGAGTTTAACTCAGGTATAGGGAGTATATGATAGTAACAGGAGGATAAAGAAAAGGCTATAGAGGGTGTGAAATATCAAGTTACCTTAACAGAATTCTGATTTAATTTTGTTGGCAGAAGCACAATTGTAGCATTTTAGCTGAGAAGTACTGGTGACCTCTTTGTTGCCAAGATTGTAAAAAGTCATTTTGTCCACATTCCTTAGCTTGTATGTGTTAGTGTTATTCTCAAATTCTGCCCCTGAAAATAGCAAGGTATCTGCCAGAGAAGTTCAAAGAGGCAAACAGCGGAGAGAGTGACTGAGTTCTTGACAGGCAATTTTAAGCCTTTGAGTCCAGTGTAAGTCAGTAAGTGCCCTTTTCTTGCTTAAGTCAATTTGGGTTGTATTTCCCGTCACTTACAACTAAGAGAGTCCTAGTCAATAAAAATTAAAGTGAATAATAAGCAATAATTGGTAATTGGGAAGACAGTGGAGAGAAGGGTGAAGGATTACATCAAGGTTTTCAGCTTTAGAGGCTGAAATAAGGGAGTCTTGCAGCACAGTACTTCTGAGGAGGCAAACTTTTTCCATTTTATATCTGTTGAGGTTGAGATGGTGACAACAGAAGCATATCGAAGTGGAAACATCAAGCTGGCCATTAGAATAAGAGGCCTGGAGTCTGGGAGACAAACAGTTTAACAGATATGTGTTGGCACTTTCTCTACTGACACATAAAGAAACTCAGGAACAGGGAAGTTAAAAAACGTGTCCTCAGGGTCACATACAGTGAGTACTGAAGACAGTGTTTGAATAAAGTCAGCCTGGTTCTGGATTTAGAATATCAACCATTTTGCTATAAGAGAAGTGTGTTTCAGAGGCATGCACTTTTTGGGAGAGCTGAACCTACCTGGGAACACTGATAACTTGATGAGTTTATGGGTTTAGCCAAGCAGCTTGCTTATATTAGAAAAGCTGGCATTTGGAAAATCTTATAAAATGTTGGCCGCCTTAGTAAATGTAGAATAGGATTCTATAATCCCTCTAAGAGAAGATTGTGGGTTAGAGATGCAGGTCTAATATATAAGTTCATTCATGTAATTAATCACTGCAAACAAAACTGAAACTTGTGCATTTGGGAGACTGTGAAATTGATCATTAATATTGAGTTCAGATAAATATAGTCTACAGTGGTTTGTAATACTGTTTGCAAAAGGAGAGTCCTGGAAATTATGCCATTATTATCTTAAACTGATGATTATAAGCTTATGAATAAGAGTGGTCAGCTCAACATAATTTGGTCCAATCCTCCACTTAATAACCTAATTCTTTTTCCTTATCTCTGCCACCAAGATTAGAACTGAAGATTGCCAGAATGAATTTCCAGGGAAAATGGAGAATTTTCTTACAATGTATAGGGAAAATCTGATGCATACTTATTTAAATCAATCCATCATTCATTACACACAATCCATTTTGGGGTACTATTGCATCTTCTCTCATCCATCCATTGTCCTCTAGGCTTTTGTTCTTCATGCTTGGATTCCTTCGACTGATGGCCCCTTTACAATATAGTGCAGGTATAGAGAGAGGAAAGTTGAGGTAGGGGGAGCAGGAAGATTATGCCTCATCTACAATGAGTCTTCTCATTAGAATTATTTTTTAATTAAAACTTTCAAGTTGCTATTTTTTGTTTTGTTGTTCAACAATAAAGAGGAGCTCTACTCTAATGTATTCTCATTTGAATGTCCTTTGCAGCACTAATATTCTGTAATTCTAAATTTAAAGCCAACACAATTGAAATAAATCAGTTGTGATATCAGTAAAGATATTCACATTTACTGGAGAATGTTACTATCTTAAGAAGAAATACAGTTACTTCTCTGATACAAAGTATGTGACTGGATATTCAATTAAATGGAAACAAGACAGATTCACACACATGTAGCATTTGAACACATAAAACAAAATTCATGTGAGACACAAAAATAAGCTGTGTATGGGGGCGCCTGGGTGGCTCAGTTGGTTGAGCATCCAACTCTTGATTTTGGTTCAGGTCATGATCTTAGGGTCTTGTGATGGAGCCCCACATTGGGCTCCATGATCAGTGGGGAGTCTGCTTGAGGACATTCTCTCTCCCTCTCCCTCTGCCTCTCCCCCCACTTGCGCTCTTTCTAAAATAAATAAATAAATCTTAAAAAAAATAGGCTGTGTATGAAAAGCTCTGTGTTAAACCAGAAATTACCAGGTGTCTACATTTCCAAATATATGCATCAGTAGCAGAATTCTTTTGTTGATTTTGGGAATGGTTTTAGGGTCTAGGATTATACATTTCTTTCATTAAGAGAATCATCAGTGACCCCATGCCTAATGCATATACATTTATCACTGAAGCCTTCACATTATCTACTTGCTTTAGTTTAATTGGGCATGTCAGGAATTCAAACATTCTATTAATATTTACCAAAAAATCATGTTAGAATTACTTTTGAATTGAAATTTTCAATCAAGAGCTTACTACTTAAAGAATTTCTTGAAGACTAATAAAAGTCTTATTTTACCTCCAAAGGCTTTAAAACCTTGGAAGAGAATTGTTTGAATGGTCACTTACTGCTTGTCCATAATTCCTATATGACACGGAATTAAAAGAAGACAATTCAATTGTTGTTAGAATTGATGCAATAACTGCAACAATCATGCAGAAGATGTTCATCATCAAAGCAAATGTAATCTGAAAAGAAGATACATGGTAAGCCTGTTACATTCTGAATAAACACTTAGGTTAAACAGTTTGTATTGCTGAAAAAAAATCATTTTGTCAAAACTCTGATCTAGTTTCTGAAGCTTTAGAGGTGCTGGAATGCTTGCCATTAGAATAAAATATCTTCCTGGCTTACATGAAACCCAGTTAATCTGGAGGGAACAGTGAAATATCACATCAGTAAGCATCAGTCCTCCATTTGGGCTAAAAAATGTATTTTACAATCTTCTGAGTCATTTGGAAGAAAGATTGTTAAGATAGGATTTGAACAAAAGGAGATCCACTATAAAATGGAAAAAGAAACAAAAAAAGATGGAAAATGACTGCTTGTAGAAATAAGCCAAACAAGATTCAATGATTTTTTTTTAAGATTTTATTTATTTATTTGAGAGAGAGAATGAAACAGAGCATGAGAGGGGAGAGGGTCAGAGGGGGAAGTAGACTCCCCGCTGAGCGGGGAGCCCAATGCGGGACTCGATCCCGGGACTCCAGGATCATGACCTGAGCCGAAGGCAGTCGTTTAACCAACTGAGCCACCCAGGTGCCCAAGATTCAGTGATTTTTAATCCAGGATTTTCATTCTCTAGGGAAATCTATCAATATCTTTGGATATGTTTTTATCTGCACAATTGTGAGATCAGACTCACTGATTTCTTAGCTCTAAGAGTCTAAGATTTTTTTCTTTCCAACATCTTATCTATACCATAGATGGATCTTCTGGACAGATCCTCTATCTTATTACAAGATATAATCCTGTTCCCAAACTAGGTAGTTAGGAAAATGAAGTTTTACAGTAATATTTTATCTATATATAAAGGCATTATTAGGTCCTATTAAATTTTTTCACTAGTAAAGTTCATACAATGTTAAAATAAGGTAGAATACCAAACAAAAAAACCCTATATTTAAATTTAGAACTTTTACATAATGATTCTAATTAATATAGAAAGTTTGTCTACAGTAAGTTATGTGCTCCTAGATTGTCACTCAATTATTTTACAAGTAGGGTAGATTCCTTCATTGCTTAGGTACTCACTAAAACCTACTTAGCTTTGTGACAAGTGTGACAAATTCACTATTGTTTTCTAAAGCAATGCTCTCCACTTACCATGCCTTGAGTTGGATGCCTTACTGCTCTTATTATGGAGCCTCCTGCAATGATAAACTGGATATAAAAACATATTTATAAATACTCATTGATAATGCTCATAAACTTAAGATGTATTTTTAACAACTCCCTCTTCCAGGTCAGTTATTTTTAGAATACCAAGAGTAACAAAATATAAAGAAGTTTCAGTAGAAGGGGTCAGGACAAGTTTCCATCATATAGTCATGAACTAAAAGCTAATAGCTGGGTCACTAATCACAGAAACATAGGGGACAGTGGGCAGAATTCAGGTTGTGGTATATACCAAAGATGACTTAAAGAGTCCTGAATCAGGGGCCAAGTTTGCTTATATCTGTGCATGCCTTTTGAGCTCATTTGATTATCATTTCAAATGCTATCCTTCCTAATAAAGCCATTGATTGCAATTATTGTATACATATCCAAATGTGAAAAAAGTGGTTCATGAGTTATTCCAAATTGTGTTTGTACAAAATATATCTCTTGAGACTGTGGCCGTTATTAAAGTAACAACTGTAATTCATGTTTTTGCCTTTTTTAAAAAGAGTTTCCATTATTTCACACCAGATTACTTTGTCTATTTCCCAGAAGTGTAAAGTTATGTCATATTGTTTGAAGGTGAGCTGCATACTTCCCTTGGAACATTCCTTTTGTCTTATCTGTTTTAGTGGATTTTACAAAGATCTAAGTCAAATGATAATCTGTGGAAAAACAGCACTCATGCTATACCATTTATAGGAAGGCCAAACCTTAAAGCTTACTAACTCCTCCAGGATAACTTAAATTTACACACACAGCACTTCATTCTGTAATAAAAGCTGAGATTTCTAAGGAGGTACACAGTGAACGGAAGAACATAAAGTTGAATTATAAACTGGAGTGCGCTGTAGCTAGATTACCAAACCATGCGCTTCACAAAATGCCTTTCAAAGTTATGACAGTTTTGCACTGGATTAAATTTAACTGAAATTTTAGATAATTTATTCTAGGAGCTACACATGCTATTTTTATAACATGTACAATTAAACACTGAAGGCCACGAATCATTATCTGGATTTTGTCTGCAAATTCACTATTGTTTTCTAAAGCAATGCTCTGACAATTGTGAGCCAATGTATAAAGGCAGAGGATCTCCTAGGGGCCACTGCTTTCTCTGTAGCCCTCTCAAGTGGTGGCCATTTTCTCTTCCAGCCCTTATAACTTCCCTCTCCTCCAGCTTTGAATCAAATGTCCATCAGATTCTATCACCACTATCCAGCCTGGTTGAAGTCATCAACTGATGACTTGGTCACTCTAGTCTTGGTGATTTTAATTTCTGTCTCACTCTCTAACACCTCTTAAACCTTGGTGTGATATATATATATATATATACATATACATATATATATATATATGATCCTTCTAATACCTGGGTCTTATGTTTCTTTGAACTTCTCTTCTCTAATCCTCTGACCCCATCCTAGCTCAGTCACTCACTCCCATATTCATTCTCTTGTGCTTGTTTCTGCCAATAAGGATGACATCTTTCAAATCTCATTTCCAAGTATCCCACTATGACCACCAGCTTCTATCTTTCTACATCATGTCCTGTAGTATCACAACTTTAACAATTCTTTGAACCCATCTGCATCTATAATCAAGCCCCTCACCTCTCTGTTATATTCTCTACTTTACCAGCTTAAATTTCATGGTTAACTATTACACTCACTTATATACACTTTCAACTCGTTTGCACTGTTCTTGTTTGATCACAGATGCATGGTTAAACCCAAATCCTGATTAAATGCAGTTCTCCTTCTCACTGAATGCCTGAACCCATGCAGCCAAACAGGACTTGAGAAAGACACACAACCATCTTGACCCATATCTCACTACACACATTCTGTTCCTAACGCTTAAGTGAGCTCTTAATCTTAGTGAAAGTCTAACTACTTTTCCACAATGCATGCACTCTCTTTTTCTAGGTGACTATTTCATATCCTCTCTTCAAACAACCAATTCATTATCCCATTCTCCTTCTCAGCTCATGATCTGGCTTCTTAATTCACTGAGATATTTGAAGCCATCAGAAGAAAAGTTCCACAAGCTCCCAATATCCCATCTACCTACCTATCAAAATTTGTCATTTCTCTTTGTTTCTCCACCTTTCCATCCTGTTACCCACCTTGGCACTATTTACATTAAAGATGGATAATTCTTTCTTATGAGGGCTATCCTATACTTTGTAGGATATTTAGCCATATCCTTGGCTTCGGCCTACTAGATGCCTACCCCAGCTGTGAAAACCAAAAATGTCTCTGGACATCACCAAATGTCCTCTGAGGGGCAAAACCACCTCTAATTGAGATCCACTGCTAGAGATGAACTGTCCATGAACCTAAGTATTTGTGTATTAAAATTCATCACCTCTTGCCTACCCCAGTACAGGATTCTAATAATCCCTCCTTCCCTCCATTTATTTCATATTGATTGTGGTATATACCACAATCAATACCTCTTCTGGTTCAGTCCCCTCAGTAAAAGACATGATACTTCCAACTTACTGAAACAAATAAGCAAACCTTGTCTTGATCCAAACTTCCTCCCACTACTACTTCATTTCTCAATGCCACATTACACCAGAGTCCTTAAAGGAGTTTTATTTGCTGTCTCTATAGTCTTCTCCTCCCATTATTTCTTAAACCAACTCCAGTCAGGTTTTGCTTCACCATTCCACTGAAACTACTTGTCAAGTTTATTGCTAACTCCAGTGGTCAATTCTCAGCCTTATTTGGCAAAATAACAGAATTTAATATAGTTTATCTTTCCCTATTTGTTCACTCAGCTTTGAGGATGCCATACTTTTCAAATTTTCCTACTAATTTATGGCTGTCTAGAAACCACAGAATGCAGGTAATGACAAATTTAGAAAATGTGTGAGTAGACTCATTGTGTGAAGAAGGTAAGGACCCTAAATACGAAAATTAACCATGCTAAAGGATATTATGGTTAAGATTCTTTGTCTTTCACATATCTAAAGACAATCCAACCTATGGTTGTCATTGGGTATTCCCTCCTGTATCCACATCTCTTGTAACAGCACTGGTAAGTTAAAGGTACTAAAAAAACATGTGTTGAAAAAAAGAATTTGATTCTGAATAAATTACCAACATGGGATTTACTTACATAATTCTCCTGAAATCTCTGTTTAAAAACTGTTCCCTATCTTCCACTAGTGGCATGAATAGTATTTATTGAATGATTAAATCATATAAATATATTCTACTCACAATAATTCCCCATAAAGCACATCCTGTTTTGTAAGTTATAGGTTCATACGTCCCAAAGACTCCTCTAATTTGTCCCATATACAAAATCAATAGGAAATACCACATGAAAACATGAAATATGCCAATCATAATCTGGAGAGCCTGTGAGAAGAAAATGATATTAGTACCAAAACCATGTAATTTATAACATTATTCCAGTAAGTGTTAACTATAAGAAATATTCAATACTTTTATGAAAGATAAAAGTTAAATAGCAATGCACTTACCATGTATTTTCTGGACTGGTTAGCCCCAAAGGAAAGCCCTAACCAGGAAGTACTGAGGTTTACCAAATAGAAGTCAACCATTCTTGGAGCATCAGACTGTTCAATGATAATTCTAGTCAATTCTCCCATAAAATAGTTGACAATCTGACTCTTACTACTGGCTATCCTCCCTACCTATCAAGTAATGGCATGAGAGAAGAATACTGAAGGTATTTGGGGGAAAATATGGTTACTAATCTATTTGGATGCAGGAAACCATGTATCCAATATATCCTTGTATATTAGTAATTATTAAGGTTGAACCACTTTTTGCATCTTTTTGAAGGTTTACCTTTGCCTTCAAGGTATATTTGGTATGTATCTTTATCACAAGCATGCTGTTGTGAGGTACAGTCCAACACAGAGATACAAAGAATATCCGATGTAGACTTGCTTGTACAAGGTCTTCCTATTGGATAGGGGATGAGCTGGTGGAGGGGTGAATTATTACCCAACTTTAATTTGTAAGAAGATAATTATAATCCAAGTAAATATGTGCCAGTAAATTTATTTCTCAATTTATATGTGGACTAATATTTCATATACTGAATCACATTTTTAATTACCGTTTAAAAATTTTAGAGGATTGGGGCACCTGGCTGGCTCAGTCGGTAAAGCATGTGATGCTTGATCTCAGGGTCATGAGTTCAAGCCCCATGTTGGGTGTGGAGCCTAATTAATAAAAAAAAAAAAAAAGTAAAAATTTCAGAGGATACACTATTTTTACTTAATATAAACTTTAACAGGAAGCTATTTAATGCTTTAATAGTTCCAGCTCTTTGTAAAGTAGTCTAAAAACACATAAATGCAATCAGCTAATATTAAAGATACATTTTAGAGAATTCTCCTTCATTATAGAAAGATGACTTTTTCAGTAACAATCTTATGCATTTTTATAGATTTAGAATTTTAGATTTCCTCTGCATCGAATTTGGAAGAAAGGCATTATCTTCAGAGATTCTTTGGATTTGATTGGGAGAAAATCTTCTACTAGATAGCAAAATCCTTGAGAGCCTGGACTTTATAGTTATCTCACTGTTGTCACCAGCCTCTAAAAGTGGGAATCCAGTAAATATCTCTTGAATAAGCACATCAGAATGAAGGACACTAATCCCACATGACTTTCCCAACTCTTAAGTGAGCTTGAAAAATAGTGTCTCCCTTTATAACTGGCGGTTGTCCTATATAATACTATGAAATATCCAAGTAAACAAAGCTTGAAAAGAACTCTATAAGAAAGCAAGGCTGCTAGTGTGTGGAGAAGAACAAGATGGGTTTTCTTATTTAAAAATGGTTCTTAACCTACATCCAATGAATGGCATTTCAGGAGGTCAGAGGCCTCTTCTCCACACACAGAAATATGAGTGCAAAGGATTACAATATATACATGAAGCTGGGGAGAAGATCCAGAGCTTTCTTCCTATGTCTGAAGGGGTCTGTGACTCCAAAGAGATTAAGAACCTCTGCTGAACAGTCAGATGGGAGACAATCTACACAGCGGCCAAGTTCAAAGGAGAAGTTCACATCCGGTGGAAAAGTTCTTTCTCTTTCAAATGTGAAAGAGCATGATCTTCATAATTCTTTGGTGTTTATTAAGAGATAGCTAAGCTCTCTGTTTATAATTGAAGAGACAAATTAATAATCATTAAATTGCACAGACATCAATACAGTAATTGAAAGAGATCAGCAAGAGATCCCTCTCCCAGTTTAAAAAAAATACTTCTTTTTCTTTTATTCCTTTTTGGGATTTATCTACTACCCTATGTATGTTGGTTTAGTCAGTATGCTTATTATCTGAGCACATATTTGTGTATGAAGAGACATGAGATCAGTTAAAATTTGTAGAAGACAATCAGTATTTAAAAAAAACATTTTTTGGGTGAAGGGGAGTGGGAGATACAGGGAGATTCCAGTTATGGAATGAATAAGTCATAGAAATAAAAGGTACAGCAAAAGGAATATAGTCAGTGATCTTGTTATAGCACTGTATGGTGACAGAGGGTAGCTATGTTTGTGGTGAGCACAGCATAATGTATAAATCACTATGTTGTATACCTGAAACTGATGTAACATTGTGTGTCAACTATACTCAAAAAAAATTTTTTAAACCCATTTTTGACTTAACCAAATATGCCCCTCTCCAGATTCAAGAATAATCCTTAGTAAATTGAAATATTCCTGAATTTAGTCAAAGTGAAGTCTTACTTACCCCTAAAACAAGACTATCTGCTGTAGAGATTTTTGAACACATACATGGAGCCATACTACCAGCATTTCCTCTAGATGATTATGCTTCTAATCTTTGCTGATATTTTTAATAGCAAACTTCTACAAAACAATACAAAACACGTATACATACTTTGCTCAAAAGAAAACACTTAAGTTTGATTGCTTCCCTACTGTTTTACAACCACCTCCCCAAACTCTGAAGCAATTGCTTTCTTCTTTCTGTGCCTAATTTTGTAAAGGCATCAGCTTGCATCTACCTATTCTGACTAATGGCCTCCATAAGTGAAAACCCTCTCTCTATGGCTAAAAAGTATAGGCATATTACAGTTATTCTCTCTGAGTTGTAAACAGTGACTCTGGATGATGAAGTATGAACACTTAGGGAACAGTGTTAGAGAATTTTCAGTAAAGCTTTTAACAACTTATTTGCAATTCATAATCAGTTCAATGCAATTCATAATGCCATGTTTGCATTTCAAAACCAAGTTCTTGTACTTAAATTCATCATGGGATCATGATTTTTTTTTTTTTTCTGTCACATACTTGCTATCTAGTTCTTCTTTATGTGAAAGAACTTTTTCTGCCATCAGACAACTTACCATAGTTGCTTCCACAATCCTAAAGTCTTCTCCTAGGGGTTCTTTTGTTGTTATCCCTCTACCCCGTTATTCCTGCATTTCTGGTGTTCAGAAAACCTGGCTAATAACTATATCCTTTGTGGATGTGACATTACATTGTTCTACATCTTCTAACAGGTCTTACTTAGGTCAGTAACATGAATCATGCCACTTAGCCAGGTGATCATGTAATGGATGATATTAAACCCTGAGTCTTGGTCCTTTCGAAAGGAGGGTTTGAATAAATGACCGCTCATTCCCTATACCCTTAAAATCTCATGATTTGATTATTTTAATGTGTCTTTGGTTTCTAAAATTGATATCTCTTAATTCTATAAAGTACAGAGACAGAAAAAAGCTAGGTAAGAATACAAGAGCTATTGACAGTAGAGAAAACAGTATGTTAATAACTTAAGTATAAATAATAAGTTTCATATATTAAACAGCACCTTTGAGAAATGCCAAAGAAAGGCAGGCCTAAAGGCACCCAAGATTAAGATTAATCATTCTGTTATGCTTAAATAAAAGACACAGAATTACAGAATTCATATATAAAGTAATGAGGAAGTTATATCTAGATTGCTATTGTCACTGAGAAAAAAGGAAAATAATAAAAAATAATTAGCCCTTTTTTATATGTATAAAAATTCTCACAGTTGATAGTGGAAACACCATGAGTGACTTGGGGAGAATATTTAGCATCACTATAGTCTCCATCAGGCCCCCACCAAAACCACCCCAGGTGAAGTACCAAGAAAAAATAGGTTGCATGTGTGTTTAAAATTCTTCAGCTTAATTGATGGAAGAAAATAAGAAATTCTACAATATTGTTTCTGGAATAAATGATGGTTAGAATTTTTTAGAAAAACATTCTACAATACTCTATAACCCAGTTAATATCTCATTTTTGTAAAAAAAAGATAAAAAATAAAAATTAATAATTTGTTTTTATTTTCTGGTGATCTCATCACTAATCCAAAAAGCAGCTGCAGAACAAGCCCCTAGCCCTCATTCCCTACCCCTGCCTTAAAGACACAGGAATTCTGGAACAGTCACAGAGAGCTTATGTCTAGAAGCCACTTCTCCATCTTTAGCAGGGATGCTGCGACTCCTGTCTTCAGAATAAAGTTCAAACTCTTTGGCAGGGCCGATAAAGCCCTTCATGAGCCCTGCCCACTTTCTCGGCCTCATCCAGCCCCTCCCTGGGTTTCTGCCCTAATGGCTCCAACAGCAACCTTCTTTGGGAAGCCTTCTCTGCCCCAGTCGTTAGTACTCCTCTCCTTGCTCCCCTACATCACAGTGTTGTCTAACTCTGGATGATCAGGACTGGCTCCCAAGGCAATGTGAGCTCCCGGAAGCCGAGGAATTCACTTCTCCGCGTCCAGGGCCAGTCCTGGGCTGCGACCGAGGGGCTCACACTCGATGAAGCGGACTGGGCTGGGCGCACAGGCGGTGGGTGAGTTCCAGCGTCTGCACAAGGATGGACCGGGCAGGAGAGGGAAGGTGGGGGGCACCGAATTCTATCTCCGCGCCCCTTTTTCAGCTTTTAACACTTAAGAAATACTGTAAGCAAAGCGACATCATTACCCTTCATTTTACTTGTTCAAGGTCCTAAGGATCGAGTTTCGCCCTCTTGGGTCCAGGCCCAGGCTGAGGGGGCGGAGTCCCGGCGCGGGCCGGTCCCCTTGCCCAGGAGCGCTCCTCCAGCACCCGGTCCGGGTCCTCCCGCCAGTGCCCAGGCCCAGATCAAGAGGCAGATGTCAGTGGGCGGCGCCCTCAGGGCCAGGTTCCCAGACGCTGCCGGGCAAGCATCACTGAAGCAGCAAGGAGCCCAGGACCCAGCAGGCCCTCAGGCTCCTCAGGCCACGCGGGCCTCCAACGGCAGCAGCGAAGGCGCTGCCCTCGTGCGCCTGCGCACCCACTCCTGGTACGTGGCAGGGGCGGGGAAGGCCGTGTGCGCAGACTCACTAGGGCTTTGCGGACCACGTGGTCAGACTCGCGGGAACTACGGCTCGGTGTCTGGAGAAATGGCTTCTCTAAACATCTATTAATGATATTGGCCCTTCTGGTGCATTCGCTGCAGAGCGACCAGGATCACTGATGAAAAGTCAGTCCCTCACCTTCTCTGTCCTCAGAGGAAAATTGTAGCGCAAATGCATTTTAGGAGGTGTAAATATTGAAAAAGGCAGTTGAGTCAGTGACTACCCTCCAACTTTTTTGTTTAAAAAAAAAAAAAACGTTAGAAGCCGAAGAAAGAAATTAATGAAGAGGCTATTTGGCAAGACACCAGAATGACTTTCTCATCCACCTGCTGAGATGAGTTTACGTTTCAGTTTATACCTGGTATCAGTTTTCTATTTGATGGGGAGAGTTGTTAAAACAGTGAGTGTGAAAAGATGTGTAAAGAAGTGTAGGTAGCAGCTGTAAGATTCTGAAGGTTCTGATGTGGTAGATGAGGAAGTCGCGGGGGGGAACCTCAAGCAAAAACTGATCTTAATTTAACTGAGAAGTACGGGTACTCCTGTTACGCAACACTCATGACTTACTGAGGCAGTAAAGTACCTGGAGAGCAGACATTCCTGCAGCTACTGAAAGTTATGAAGTCTCGTTTGTTCCAGGAAAATGTTGATTGGTATTTTCAGAAAATTAAAATTCAAGCTTGTGATGTAAATATTTAGTAAAACATAAAAAATAGTAAAACATTCGGGAATAGAGACTGATTTTTCTTTTATAAAGAAATTGCCTAAATGACACCAACACCTTTTTTTATTTTTTATTTTTTTTTGCCAGAGCCAAATTACAGTTATATCTTAAAGCCACCGAAATTTTTTTATGATCATTTATAGTTCAAAAATCAGTTATAAATTCAATAACTTTATTATTAGCCTCATAGCTAGCTTCCTTATACATTGTGACTGTGCAGCCCCCTCAATTAAAAGAAAAAAAAATATGTCCAGGTTGTTCTAATGCCTTTACATTTTGTATTGGTCATTATATCACTGAGGATATGAGTTTTAGTTGTAAGTAATAAAGCTGTTTAGTTTCTGACATTAGGATTGTTCTTTTCTGCTTTACCTGTTTGTGAGCAGAGAGTAATCTGACAATACTAAGCATTCTATGTGCTGTAGAAGAACTCACTTGAATGGGTTTTCAATGTCAAGATTATGGAATTAGTAGAAATGAGAGTCAGTTCTGATGAGATGACTCCCTATTGTAACTTGCTACCCTGATTGATTGATTTTGAGAGAAGAGAGCTATCTTTCCCTTTCATCTAAGGTTTACCCAACAGTCTTTGGAAATTAGCTTGGATTTGATGATTTTCTTGGATGGGGACCAAATATGTATTTGTATTTGTTCAGTGAATACAAATACATATTCATATATATTCAGTATGAACATAGACAAGAATAGATGATAAGTCAAACTGTGGGATACGCAAAGTTCCTTGGCACTTCTTAATTCCTTTGATAATATTACAGATCAATCAACCAGTTTTGCTTTTCTCTATCCCTATAAACTGGGTTTAGAAATTTAGAATTAATTTCATTCTAATTTTTGTTACTTGGTTCTCAAAATTGCTTCCTTCAACAATGGAGAGGCAGTCAGTCATGGTATGGCATCCAATATGACTTACTTTTTTTTTTTTTTACTTTTACTTTTGTCATTTAAAATATTTTTCCATGCAGGTTATGTTGTTAATTTCCCTTGAATTGGTTCTAAGAACAACAAAGGCATTATGAGGATAACAAAGACATTACTAGGAAATGTGCTGAGACCACTATGTTTGATATAATCAATGTTGTTAAGACCATTGTTGGGGGATCATGATAAGGATTACATCAGCTATAAGCCCACATAAAATATTTCGTCCAAATTGCTGTGAGGAATTGTATTTTACTTATGCACAGGGCAAAACAGATACTTCCTCTGTGTAAACAGGTTATTCTAGTAAGAAAAATGGAAGTAAATCTGTATAACACTGGGGAAACTTAACAATTGAGTTTATTGTAGGTGTGCAATATGTGTATATTTATATAAAATATAGTATATATGTGTATGGATACACATACTTGAACACACACATGTATGTAGTAGATACTCATTTTCATATAGTTAGCGTTATTACATTACATTACTTTAAGGAAATGCTAATTAATAGTTTAAAAATTATTTTGCTCCCTTTTTTTTTTTTGCATTTACTGTGACCAGGCAATATGTTATGTGCTTTACATGTGTTTAAAGATAAAATCAGATACATCAAAAATTTGAAGAGTTTGAGCAAATATTGACTCGAATTGGGCAACACCAAATTGAAAATGGTTGGGAACACCTCATCAGCAGGAGCTAGGGGAAAGGTTTTTATCTAGAAGATGTGGAAGCAAAGCAAGGAAATTATTTGATCGGCTGTAGTTTAGACAGCTGCCTTATTTGAGAGAGCTTAGTTAGCTGTGGTTAGTTGTTCTTAAGTTTAATTTTCTCGGGTTGGAGTGCATTGATTCTGGCTTTGGTTTCGGTTTGCTTATGTAGGCTATCAAGGCGTTAGAACCACTCTGGTCTAATGGCCTTCTTGTTTAGCTGCTTTAACACATTGGCTTATCCTACTTAAACTGAACCATTGTTATTATTTTAACTGGTGAAAATACTGAGGTTTGGGGAGGTTAGGGATCTCGTTCATAGTTGTACAGCTTATAAATGTGCAAGTTGTGGTTCTAACTCCAGCAACCTGGCTCCAGAATCTGTACCCCTTTGCCTTCTCAGGCCTCCTTCAGGAAGAGCTGTGCTGTATGATCGTTGCAGAATTGTGTAAAGAATACTGTTGATGAAATCACAAGGTCTAGGGATGGTTCTCAGCCCCAGTTCTGGCTGTGTGTACTCCATTGTACTACTCTTTGACTTTGTTTTCCCCTCTGTCTTACAGTGTAAGTCCCTGACATTAAGCTTTTGATTGCCAGTGCATCCATTTCAAAGACATCCCTCTCAAATAAATGAATTGCCAGCTGTATAACACAGCTACTAGCAAAACAACTAGAGAAAAAATAGGCCACTCCACCTCAGAAGATTCCCTTTTAGAAAGCTCTATCTGGTTAACGTAGATAACTAACTGCTGGAATGACCTCGCTTTTCCCTTCCTGTGCCCTAATTCCAGCTCTTATGTCTTAAATTCACTCATAAAGAGTGAACCCAAGAAACTGTAGGTACGCTACCTTCAACTCTAATAAAGGCAGAACCCCAGGTTTGTGCTTTCTCTCTGTCTCTCTCCCTTGCTACATGGCCCTTGGGGCATGCTGTGGACCTTCCAGGACTTGTGAGTAGTAAGTCCTGTCCTTCAAAGTTTCCTGATGGTTGTTGCTGAGGTGCAACCTACAATCACAGTAAGAACCACAAGGGTCATTCCCCCACTTGTTTCAGTAGGGGGAACATCTGTGGGGGCTGCCATGAGTAGTAGGGCTCAGGCGAGGGCCTTAGGCATTCAGGTCAATAACATCACTATCAATAGGCTGAGACCAATAGAACTGGACATTGCAGCCAGCATTATATGACTATATGAAGTGATATTTGGCCAAAAAGTCTGTACCAGATTATAAGTGTTGCTAAGTTCTTAGGTGAGTGGCAGGAATTGTGAAAATAAAGTCAAATGGTGAGTGAGGTTTAAACTGGATAGGCACCACAAGTGGAAAAAGAGATTGGTGCAGCCCACTGAGTACCAGTGAGCCAGCCAGTAGAAGCAAATAAAGGGATATTCATTTTTATTTTTTTAAAAGATTTTATTTATTTATTTGAGAGAGAAATATTTATGTTTCTTGAGTGAAGTCTTTGTACTCAACTCCAGTGTTTATTACTTGTAAATAATAAGTACCTGCTTGTGGGGAGGGGCAGAGGGAGAGGGAGAAGCAGACACCCCGCTGAGCAGGGAGCCCGCTGTCAATGGTCATTGCCCGGCAAGGCATATCCATTTTTAGAGCGAAGTCTTGCATTTTCTTCAGTCTTCCTCACAGAGCAGGAGCCTCGTTATAGTCCATGTGCAAATGAGAATCCCCCCTTTCTCCATGGGGATCAAACCTGGTTTGACCCAGGCTGGGAACTGGACTTCATGTCCTGCACTTACAGCTTGATCTTTAGATATTTGAACTCAAAGCTTCCTGCAGGATCTTTTCCGCTGATTCAAATCACTCCTACAGATGCCTGGGGACCCTTGGCACCTCCCTCCCAGTCACCCAAATTTAGGATGGGTTTGGCCAGCATCTGCTCCATGGGACAAGGGGACAGTTGTGACTGATTGATTTTTAAAGGGATTTAACAAATGCAAAATATACTCTGGAAAAACCTTTCAGAAATGTTGTATAGGCCTGGCATGAATCAGTGATATGTATGTATCTTTGATGTATTTGTAGATTCTGGAAAGATAACTCTGAATCATGAAATTTCATTTCATGAAATCTTGACCTAAGTCTTAGCATTTAGAATTGGTTGATGCCCTGGAGCTCTAGAAATCTAATAATAACCTGTGTTTTTCTGAGGAGGGAAGACACTAAACATAGGATGCACTTGGGTTTTCCTTGTATAGCTTCAGTTATATTTCTTGAGCGAAGTCTTGGTACTTAAACCCAGGATTTATTACTTTTATATGAAAAAAGCACATATATACTGGTATTAAGATAAAGCCTGCTCTGTCCTGTTTTATATTACCCCAAATAAAAAGTATATAAAACCTTAATTTTATGTAATAGCTTAGCACAGTGTTTGGTCACAAAGTAGTAATGTAATATTTTTTTTTGAGCAAATGAATAAATAAATAGTAAGTTTTTAGATAATCCAGAATGAAAATCCATAAGTCCTTTAATAATTTAGTATTAGTATTATAAG